TTGGATCCCATCCATATGAAGACAGATAGAATAATATCAGACGTGGGCCTTTGAAGTGTCTTCTGAATAACTCCTGGTAATTGTGCCAAAAAAGTAGAGGTAACCAGGAATCTATCAATTCTGGAACATACAAGTTGGACCCTCAAAATTGTCCATGTCCATTTTCCACTAGAAAGAGGGAGATCAACTAATTCCAGTTTATCCACCAACTCCCTAAACTGGACAACATCAGCCATCCTAATGTTACTGCTGTTTCTGTCCTCTCCACTTAGTGTCATGTTGAAATCCCCCCCAACAATCCACAGGTCTCCCGATTTCCTCCTATTAGCTTCAAGTTCCTTCCCAAACTTCTCCCTCTCCTCAGCAGGAGTTTATAACTTCTCTAACTGCGTTGCTTACACGTTTGGAAAATAAACAAAAGATTATAAGTCATATAACTTATAAGCTATATCAAGTGAGTTTGTCAAAAAGCTATTACCATAAGTTCTACAAAAAACATTGTTATTAACCAAACATAATAACAAATTATCCCTTTACAATTTATAGATTCTAGCATATCTGTTATATGAAATGTTCGTTAATCCAGTCCTTCACTTCAACCAAATTACCTCTTATATAATTGATAATCAATATTCTTATAGTTTTGTCTTGTCAAACAATACATAATTCTCAGGTTATTATTAACAAAATAGTTAAGACAAATTGAATAATTACATATGAATATAAAATAAAATAAATTGATTTAGAAAGATAACAAAAAGTTTAGAAAATTGATTTTGTGAAAAAATTACATTCTGGTTATCATAATTATTGAAAATAGATTTTTACTTTTGTCATTTTAATAAAAAAAATAGCTTATAAGTTATGATTTTAACAAACATGTAAACAAATTAATACACCTTAAAAGTCCTTGTTACCTAAACACTTGAAAGTATATTTTGAATAACTGTATTAGCTTATATGTCGCTACAGAGCTCTTACTACAGCTTCTAAGCTTCTACACAGTAAGGTAAGTCAAACACCCTCTTAAGGCATGCGTTTCTTTTTATAGTTTTTTCTCTTCTAAACCACCATAATTTCATTTATAAATTTCCTCAATCTTGATATGTTTGAAATATATTGTTTAAATTCCATTTAAAATTCATCCTAAATTGAACTTACAAATTTGAAACAAGTCTATCAACAAAAAACAAAGATTTACAAATAGAAACGATGTTTCTATGAGATTCATTCATTTTGAAGCCTCCCTAAATGTCAATGAACTTTTGGAAGACATTTACTCTGTTATCTGCATTCTTCTTCTAACAGTTTTTTAGTCTTGAGCCCTACTACATGAAAGAGATTTCAAGAGGTAAGACACCACTTGGTGTGCATTCTTCTTATAACAGTTGCAACACAGAATGCAGAATAAGTTATATCATATGCTGGGTCATCAATTAACAAACTTGTTTCATTGTTTATTCATCAAAACATCAGTTATCCGTGGATCTTATTGCTCACTAAAAGATGCGGTACTTTGCAGATAGGAATAAAAGATATGGATATACCTGCTGAGCACTACCACCAAACTGAATACACCTGAGCTTTTGTTCACCTTTCCCGCCATAAACCTGCTAAAAACAGAACATTTTGGATGCTTAAATAAACAAAATAAAGAAAAAGAAAATTTTTCCACAGAAACAAGAAGCAATAAAATCAACAGCAATATTAAAGTTTTTTTTTAAACAAAAAGTATAATATATATTCACAGGCACCAAGGGGATACAACCTAAATACAAATTAACATGTCAAATAAAATATCTATCAGGTCCCCAGAATCCTCAACAGTACAAAATGGATGACTCTTAATTAAAAAATTAGGGTTTTGAATCAATAACCTTTCAATCTATCAACATTTGACTCGGTCAAAAGCTCTCCTATTTCTTTATTTACAAATGCCCAGAAAGTAACCAGAGGAAAAAGACTTGCCCTCTTATCCCTCTTGACCCCGCACCAAGCCCTAATCTGATCCCTAACTGAGCCAGCAATCACCCAATAAACAGCAATATTATAGTTGGCAACAATATTTGAAGAACTGTCTACATTAATAAAGCAATAAAATCAATAACAAATATTAAAGTTGGCAAAACTATTCAAAAATTGTCTACCTTGATCATAGCACCAGACTCATTTCTGATTCTAGATATGTTGGACCCGCACCTTCCAATCAACCCACCAACCAACGTCTCCGATATCACCATCTCGAAGGTTACATAATCAGCTGCAAGATTGGTTGTCCTAAAGATGATGTCGTTATAAAAGAAAATATTAAAACTTGAAACAGCCGCAAAAAATGTGGCAGTGAAAATTCAAAGACCATTCAAAATGGAAAGAATAATGAAACCTGAAGTAGGGTCCAAATATGGCTGAGGTGGTCGAATCGATGTGTAATTATATGCTGGGCTTATCGAAATTACTTGCCGTGGTGGGTTTTCCCTAAAATATGAAATTTATATACAGATTAGTTAATTGGTCTTCAATCAATATATTGAAAAGCAACCTGAAACACAAGTCAAAGAGACCTCAGTTGATAAGCAATCTCCTCCAAAGCCTTCAATACGGCAGAAACATCACCCGAGACCTGATTTAGCATAACAGAATCGTTACAGTCCATAGAACGGCAAAAGACAGGCAGGAAGAAAGAACACAAACTGAGTGCAGAGAAACCCTAAAAGCTTGGCTGGCAGTTATGTTTTTAGGATAAAGTAAAGCAAGGTGGAAGCTGATAGTTTCTCAAAGGGGGTGAACTAAGATAAATCTCTAACTAAGCTGCCCTTCAAAGTTCAGGCCAGGAGAGTCATATTTTGTTCAACTATTGTTTTTTCCTTTTTCTTGTCAAGTTTCCTACTTACCCTTCAACCTTCATAAATTAATTCGCCAAACAACTGTTTCTTCTCTTCATTCATAAGTAGGAGCTTTTTCACCTGTAACTTGTTATGGACTGTCTACAAGAACAACAGAATCAATGGCCTCCTCTGCAAGTAATCACCTACTGCACTGGTGTACAAACAGTTTACCAAGGGAAAGTAGAAAAAATGACTCAAAGATTATTGGGGTAGAGAGTTTCAAGTCAGTTACTGATCAGTTCCCCTTTTTCTTACTAGCAGATAGTTTTCTATGTATTTTTTTCTCTTCCTACAGAGATGGAATTAGTTTCTTCCCGCAAAGGATGTTACACATTCCTCAGTTGCAGTTAAGTTTCTTCTTATAAATATGCAGATACTGAAAGGAATGAAGCTAAGCAGAATCTTTCTAATTTGAATTTCTGTCCTAAACTGAAAGATCAAGTTTCTTCTTTGATAAATACAGATAGTGAAATGAATAAAGGTAAGCATAATTTTTCTAATATGAGTTTCTTCCCTAAACTGAATTGTTGAAGGTTTCTCACTGGTGCATTAACAGTTTACTAGGCTCAACAGTTTCTATTCTGCTACCAATCAGTTCCAGTCTTTCTTATAGTTGTGATGGTTAGTTTTCTACTAACGATCCTTTCTTATAGTTCTTATAGATTTGATGGTCAGTCATCATCCTGTAGGATGTATAACAATCCTTTCCTCCTAGTATCTCCCCTTTTTCTTCCATGCAAACATGCAAGTTGGTTCTTTATGGGCATTGGTAGCCCATGTATCCAAT